AAGCCTATTTTTATTCCAATACTCAATATTACATACGAAAATTGCTCCACGAGAAGAAAGTTTTTATTTTTTACACATAGATCGTAAGTTTCCAGTGTCATTCCAATTCTGTAAAGATTCTTGAAGATCCAAGCAAACCTGAATATCCTCATCAGTCAGACTATCTGAAGCGATTTTATCTTTTTTCGAGATATGATTAGCATGAATCACGGTGTTGAACACAGGAAATCCTTGTTTGGTATTCATTGAACCGTCGTAAGTGTTACTGTACACACCGGTCACCTCCTGAATAAAATGACAGTAAGATAACATTTTTGAATTAACTCAACTGCTGATCATTCCATTCGAACCTTCCCAAAAATTCCAGAATTCACCTCATTTAACCGCAGTTTATATTTAAACTGAAAATTATAGAATCGACTCGGATCAGCAAATCAGTAAACATTCAAATGAATTCTTCACAGAATCCAAAAGCCAGCAAATCAGCCAATTAATCTGAGAAAAATGCCGATTCTATAATACAAAACTCACGATTTCATCTCCCGGTTTGCACGTATCACATAAATCGCCCAACAAAATCACGTCTTTACTTCGTGGCAGTCGTCCTGCCGCTACGGCATTTGGACTCTCTTGAATGGTGATTCGTTGATAGTTGTGATAGATGGTATTTTCCATATTCAGTTCGAATGGACCACGACTTTGACACGATGGACAAGTGCTTGGCTTGATTTCTTCGTCGTAGCGTTGCACGAACGGTCCAAGGATATACCCACACGCCATACAATCGTATTTGACGATTGAGAGTTGCGGTAAGATACCTGGAGAATTCAGTGGTACCTTACAATTTGAGAATATTTCCGTACGAACAACGATTATATTCAAGACATAAAAACTCTTTGGTTTCATGACAACTGTCTCAAAAACTATGTTGAAAGAAAACTGCACCTGTTGTCACGGTGACAACTCCCGACGTCCGAATCAACATTCCAAGATGCAACTGTCTCAACATACGAATATCCTCTTCAACTGGCAAACCACGGATTCGAACCTTCAAGCAAATAATTCCATCAACCATCCAATACCAAACAAAACTTTTAGCACAACCCAGTCTGTGACTAATCAACTTTATGGCGATGCCTATATGAATATCTTGAAACATCCGCACCTTCATAAGGATGGACACAGAACAATATACGAGAAACATTGCAAGTTTCTCCCAAGATCCTGAAAAAAGGAATACAAATCAAAATTCAACAATACCTTGATTTCTTGTGTGACTCGTGTGTAGTATGGATACATCGATAGGAGGAGATCCGTCGTGGCGCGATTCATACGCATCAGAACCTGAAAAAAATCGTTATTTAACACATCTCAAATATCTCTTTATCCCGTCAAAGCAAAATCCATAACACTTCATTAATAACATGTTACAGATCGCGAAGCTCGGCTGACTCTCAGCTCGATTTTACGATTTTCGGAGAGTTATCGTATTAGGCCATTTGAATTTCCACTAATATCACCAGAATACAAACCTCATTCGGTGCTT